GGCCTGCTGCAGAGCAGCTCGTGCCTTTAATTCCCCTCGATAGCCAAAGTGGCGTAGTTGGAATTATTTCAGTATTTGGGGATTATTCCGGTATCTATTCCTGTTAATAGCAAAGAAGCAGCTGTGCTGGAGCAGAGCAATTCTAAGTTTGCAGCCGCATTTGGAAAGTTGCAATAGGTAAATGCCTTAGCAAAATATCCTCTGCACCTTCAGTGGAAATATGAAAACAGCACTATGAACCAGCCTTGAGCGATGCAAATTTCCTGTTCCAAGCATGGCCGTGCCCCTCCATCACCCGAGACAGTCGGGCTCGCAGAAGAAGCGGACCTGAGTGAAGGAGGGCAATAAAGAGTGCTGCAGTGCTGTGCAGAGGGAACACGCTGTGAAGGAGGGAGGGGAAAAGGACAAACTGACAAGAAAGATTGAGGGTAGGAAAGAGGCTCTCAAATGACGTGCTGATGCTGAAGTCAGTTGAACCCAGGCAAAACCCCCTATGAATTCAGCTAATGCATGAACCAGTTTTTTTCATTCTTGGGCAATACTTTCTTTGGGAGAATGTTCAGCTGCCTTCTGGCTCTCCAATACTTAAGGAAAAGGGAAAATTATCCTGTATTTGCCATGGAAATGACACGAGCCCCCTCCTGCTGTGGGACTGAGGAGCAGTCCCAGCAGATGGTGCTGTGATCCTTCCATTGGGCAAATTATTTCTCCTTTTTGCCGAGCATTTTTGCATCAAATCTCCACCGGCAAGGATGGGAGACCACTGGCCAGGCACACTCGGCTCCGGGGAAGCTGGTACTTCTTGTGGTAGAGCTGTAGGTACATCCAGAGCTCCACTGTGCACCTTCACAGCCATCTGTGCAGTCTGAAATCCCCCTTACCCCACTGCTGACCATCACTGGGTCTGGGTCATTCCTGTTCTTGGCTGCCCCTAGCTACCCTGATCTTCCTAGGGAGGTTTTTGCAGTACCTTCCTTCATGTTCCTAGGAAAAGAAAGGTCTGCTCAGGAGTTTATTGCTTAACACATAGGTGCATCCCTGGTTGAAGGATGTCAAAACTGAAGGAGAAAAGAAAAAAGAATAAAAGAAAAATAAAATCAAGCCACAAATCCCTTACATCTGCCACAGCCTGGAGAGATTCAACAAGACCCTAACTAGAAGAGCTAACAGCTCTCTCACGTCACACACTTTATACCTTTAAAAACCACTGTAGTTACAGACATATGAGTGTCCTGCATGAAATATCCTTTGTCACCAAGCTCTTGCCTCTATCTGCAACCAGGCACAAGCTTTTCAGGACAAGTGTCTGCATTTTGAGAAAAGCATTAAGGTACTAGGATTCATAGGAAGGATGCTTCAGCCTGTGGCAAGCTTGAGACTTCACTACAGAAATTCGCTACCTCTATATCAACTGCCTGGATCTGATGCAGTGCCTACAGATGCATGGCTTGAAGACTGCTCTCCCTGTATTGGGTTTGTCCAGCAATGAGGTCAGCTACCTAAAAATGACATCAGCATCCCCACAGAACAATAGCCCATTCACAGTCCTAGCTTCTCTGCAAACAAGTAGAGAACAGATAAAATGAGGCTCAGCAGAGCTCAGAAAGGGAATCTTCACACTGGCCTTGTTTATGGTTTCTGTATGCTGGAAACCACCTGCTATTTCAACCCAGGCAGTAACAGGTTACTGTTTCCCTGTGCCTCCCCAAAGGTATTGCAAATCTCAGTTCACATTTGTTAAGTCCTTGAGATATATGGTTAAAAGACCAAAGTAGATTTAAATGTATACACATAAAAATATATACTTCATAATTAAACAACAGTGAGTACTCATAAATACGACCAACTGCTCATCAGTTCACTGCTTTTCTGTAATCCATTTTGCCTTACTCATGCTACCTAGTTAATAGACAAAGACTTTATAATCTGAACTTCAACTAGTAGCTCTTGAATTGTGCTCATACATTCCGGTTCTATGTCTCCCTACAAGTAGCCCGGAGTTATAAACTCCCAGGGACTTGAGTGGCATTCAACACGGGTGTACCTGCAAGGTTATGTCCCCTGGTCAGTAAAGCTATAAGGATGAAAACAAGGTTCCTTTTTTGTCTGGGATGTGAAGGTGAGCACACTGGCAGGTACCCCAGTACTAAACAATACAAAGATTAAGGGTTCATAATAAATATTTCTTCAATATTTTGTCTTTGGTGGATTTTCAACTCAGAATTACAACTCAGAATTAAGATGACTTATGGAGCAGCTCTACATTCCTTAGTACAGAAGAGCCAGTGTATTTTCTGGTTGTTCCTCATGACAAAACTAGTGCTTTTGGGCTATGAAGACTAGAGTGGTTTTGTACAATACCAAGATACTAACTTTGGACCCAGTCCAGTGTGGTTATTTATAATAGGTAATGCATAACATATGTCAAAGCAAAGGCTGTCAAATCTGGCTGACAACTAGTCACATCTCAATCGTATCACTTGGCAATATGGGTGGTTTTTTCCAGAATATATAGCAATTCCGATCAACTGCAGATCGCACTTCACAGAAGGTTCAGTTGCAAGCAGATGCCAGGCTCTCACTATTCATCTGGAGACATATACAGTACGTGAACAGAGTAAAGAACTGAGTTGTGATTCAAAATAAATGGTTTCCTTTACTTGGCACCAGAGGCAATACAGAGTTGCAGAGCGTGCTCACCTGGCAAGTACCACAGTTGTATGTGGTCTTGAGACCTCACAGTCCTGAGGACTGCAGCTCATCTGCAGCAGCCAAGGCAGGCTTACCTGTGTAACCCCTTTCCCTTCCAAGGGTTAACGGGTACAGTGCCAAGGAGACTGAGTGACAGACCAGATCAAGTGCAGTACCATGTGCACACTGGGGGAATGCTGATGCTCTGTGTTCATGTCTGAATGAGGCCCATGTGCAAGGGCCATGCTTAGCATGAGACATCATAGCTAAGAATTATTTTTGTACACACATATATAGGTGTGTATGTAACATGTTTCTGTAAATATATATGTATGTATCCGTCAATGTGTATGTGTATAGGGAGCTCAAAGTAAGCCTCAACTTTTGGTTCTGCGTCACAGTTGATCAGAACAAAATACTTCAGTGAGTTACTGTTAATACAAATATAATAGTAGGTTCAGGGGCAAAATATGAGGTTTCTTTCAGTTGCGTCTAGGCACACTGGGTTGGTGTGCCTTCCTAACTCTTCCTAGGAAGAAGGGAGATCAAAAAGACCTTTCTATCTCTATTTTATTTTATAATCAACTTCCGTGTGAAGGAAGCCCACGCTGTCTTGTCTTTGGTGCTTAGTTCATTTCACATCAGTTGTGTTTATTTCAGAAAGAAAGTCTACATGATCATTTTGTTACAGGGCTTTACTAATTGCACCACTGACACCCAAATAGGTGAGTAGCCCACGTGTTTTCATTAAAAAGCAGCAGCCAGCCCTAAGGATCTAGATTTTCTGGAGGTTTCCATCCATTTAGACGCTGCTCAAGTGCAATGGGTTTCTATAGAAGAACAAACTCATCCTTGTGAGGCAGCAAAGCGCACACATCATCAGATTCAGCAGAATGGCACCATCTCAGACTGACACAGAATTTGGCTCACACTAATTTATCACGAGTTGTTCCATATTTTCCTGGCCTTGCTGTAAGATGTTTGGAAATGGTGTAGTACTTACTGCCCTCAGGCTCTTCCACCCACTTACCTGGCACTGCATTCTGTTCCTGCTTGTAGTGAAAATCTTCGATGAAAATTTGAGGGAAAAACACATGCAGACTAGCTGTGCTTAACCAGTTTCAGTTTATCGGTCACTTGCTATTGTGATCACCGAACACTTTTATGGCGATATAGAAAAGCTTGAGTCTAGCACATGTGATACCAGTACATCCTCCACCAGCTGAAGAGTAAGTTTGTTTACACATCCACATATTTGGCTACTGGATTTCATGGCTCTTTGCTGATAGCAGCAAACTCTGAATTAGAATGAATAGTTCCAATTTCCGTTCCACATTTGATCTACCAGACCTAAGAGTCTCCTTAATTTAAGAATTATCACGAATAAGTGGATATTTTTTTTCATTTCATTTTCAGGGACAAAACTCCAGTTCCTTTCTTTACAATGAATAGTTTCTTATTGCAAACGTTTTTCCAAATATGTTAGCGAAAAGGTTATTCCTTACATCAGTGGACCTGTCACAGACAGATACAGGTTTGCCCCATTAACAAGTTAAAGGGGGAAAAAAAGAACTCACATGGAAGAGACATTTGCAAGGCTTTTATCATTTGGCCAGAGAGCAAAATAGGGTGTCAAGGAAGCAACTTCAAATGTATCTGCAAGGACAACGTTGCACTAGGAATACCACTAACGTTTCAGGGCTTGCTCCAAGATGTTCTCATCCACCACCTTGTGAGGGAGAGTCACCTTCAATGTGGCATTCTCTTTCATTGCTTGACAGATCGTTTCATAAGCATAGTCATTACCCGACCAGCAGCGTCTGGCAACCTGTCAGACCAGAAAATCAATGGGTGCAAAAATCGTACATTTCTCTTGCCACATCCCTCTTACCCAATATTTGCGCAAACACTGGCACCCAATTTCATGACAACAAATCTTTCAACCCTCTGCCAGTTTCTAGTTTCCTTACTGATTTTGGAAGTAATTTTTATAATACCTACTTCATTTTTATGAGTAGTATTTGGATAGACTTGGTACATTTTCATGCAGAAACATAACATTGGACAGATAACATTGGTAGAGCCAGATACCTTATAAAATTCACAAAATTCTCTCACTAAAGATAATTGTGCACTCCACCCCAGCTCTGTAAAACTAGCACTTGCTTTAGATAACAGTATCATTTAAGCAATTGGTGCTTTTGTAGTGGGATAAATATTTAAAAAGGAAAATGTCACTCAGTGCATTTTCAAACTATGAAATCAAGGAGCCAAATTCTCTGCCAGCACATAAGGATGAAATTCTATGGACAGCCAGGGAACTGGTAAACGCCTCTTCTAACAGCAAAGCTCTGCGTTTTGATCTGTGTACAAGCAAGATTCCCCAGATGAAAAAAGTCAAGATTTGGCACAAAGGAAATAAGTCTTTCCCTCTATTCAATGCCTTACAAATCTCTATTATGAATTGCAAAAAAGTGTCTGAAATATTCAGACTCAAAAGTGTTCAAGAAAATACTTAGGTTCTAATTTAGCAAAATATTTAAGCATATGATTAATGTAAGCCTAATACGTTCCCAGGATCATAGCAATAACAGCTAGAAATGACCTTTCAAGTTAACAACTCAATTTCCCTGCCACTCACCTATGATTATTCCTGGCAGTATATTTTCAAGGGTACACTCCAGTTTCTTTCCAGTCTTGTATATAATATGGGTAGCATTCTCAGACTGTCCTTTTTCAACACGTGTGTGGAGGAGTGGGGCTTTTGCTTGCAGTAAATCAGAGCAGCAAAAGATTTATTGGGTTTTTAATAGGCTGTCTCTGATACGCAGTGCGTGTTAAGGGTTTGTCTTCATTACTCTAATCTACAAATTAATGTAATTGTCATCCTCTTTCTTCCTTAATAGTTTACTAATGTGTTATTTCAGGTCTGGGACAGGGAGTACGTGCAAATTGTTCCTACTCTTCTACCCCCAGTCATGCCAGGTCTTATGGGGAGAAAAAAAAATGTTTAGGTCTAAGGCAAGAAAGAATTCTGCAATTCTCTTGAGAAGTAAAACAGAACAGATCATGTCAGCATTGGCAAAGAGCTCCCTCAATACATCAGGTCCTTGTGAGGTTTCGTGACTGAAATGCAACAGGTTTTGTCCTTTAATTGGACTATGCGTCACTATGTCCTGCTGATTAGGTTCCCTGCAAGTATTGAATCAAAACCTCTCTGTCACTTCAGAGGTGGGATCCTAGTCTTAAACCCGGACAGTTTGGGTCTGGGTTGGACACTAATGGAATGAAAAAACTCTAATAGTAGCAAGGGCTGGATGAGCTGGCACTTAAATGTCAAGCCTTTCAAGGTACCTAGATCTAGAAGTTAGGAATAGACAAGACTAAAGTTCATATAGCTGTCAATTGTATTATGTAGGCAAACAACAATGCCAATATGTCTAACAAAATTATCGTAAGCATGCTTCCCTTTCTCCTTAAAAAAATAACAAAACACAAACTGAGATACGTGGAAACTATTGGGCTTCAATATGTTGTAAGTCAGAGGGGATGGTCCTAACACTTTACACTAAGTTCCTTACCCAAGAATTATTCAGCCTCTTTTATTGACTTAAAGTCCTTTGAAGTTGGTTGGAGGAAAAAAACCAACCAAAAAAACCAACTTGTTGGCTCTATTGGAATCAGGCTCATAACCGCCCTTATTAGAAGCAGTGAATAGAATGAGTCACTCAGCCCATTAGGACTATTCCTGGGATACAAAGAGACAGATCCCAAAAACTGCCTGAGTGCTCATACTCCCATTCAGTTAAAAAGGATAGGAGCACTGGAACCTGAGTACCTAAATAAACGTATTCCCGGAGGCAGGAAGATATTAAAGTGAACATATATAATGAGTTTTGCTTACTCCATTGGAAACATCCCAGCTGAGCATCATCTTGGCCCGTTCTTCAGCCTCTGTGGACCCATCCAAAACCAGGCCAAATCCTCCATTGATCACTTCACCCCTAAAAAATATAAATGTAAGAGAATAAATCAAAATAATTCAAACCAATCTCACAAAATTCACAGGAGTTAATTTGTTCAGTTGCACTGCAAGAAGAAAGATGAGAACATAGAAACGGTGCTGAATAAGAGACACTATCAGTGACTTCTTATACTTACCAAAAAAAAAGGGTAGTTTAGCAGGGCAAAGGCCTGGTTCCCTGACCTGCAGCAAACCTATTCCACCTTTCTTGTAATGCCCAACTAGCAGTCAGTATCTACTCCAAGCAGGAGTGCCAAAAATTCAGCTTGCGCCACATCTCCTGAGGACTGCACACTGTACTGTGCAGTCTCTAGAAACAAGAAAGTTTAGCACTTCTGATGGGCTGGAGAGTTACCTATCTCAGGGTATTTTTAAAGGTTAAGCCGTTCATGTTTGCTACACTAGAGCCTGCCATATAGATAGGATCATGAGGAGGACTGTGTACTTATTGAAGCAGATGGATCTATTTATATTCTCTCGGGACGAATGAGAGAGCATAAGTATTTTATTAAAAAAGCGTTAACCACCACTTAATGCACATCTGCCTCGATCATTTCAAAAACAGTCATTCATTTTATATGAGATACATAGACGTTTAAAGACATCAGTGCCAATTTTTCAGGAAGCAGACTTATTGGCAGAAGAACAACAGAAATACGTTAAAACTAACAGATTATACTTGGGAGAAATACCAGTCTGGTTTTAAAAGGACAGGGAAAACACGTAGAGCAAAACATCTTGTCTGGCCTACTCAAGTTCTTGTTTCGTTGCATATGGTGAACAGTGGTGGATGCAGTTGGATAGTTATCTGTTGCTGTAAATCTATGAGAGTTCTGGCATTATAACTCGGCATCAGCAATACCTGAGGGACGGGGCATATCATACAACACCACATGGTATGAGAGACTACTAATGGAGATCCCTGGAGGCAGGATTTTGTCCTCTGTGTTTTATAGTTAATATAATGAATAAGTTTTCATAGAATAACATCAGATATATCCATGAATCAGACAGGAGTTAGGTGTCTTCCAGTCCAGGGAGGAATTGTTCCTTACTGTATATTTTTCCAGCAGTAACTTGAGCTTCTCTGGAAATGGGGAAATGAGGCTACGTTGGAGCCTCACAGACCTGAGATGATCTTCCTGAAAGTAGAACTCTCATTTTCACTGTAATGTTGTTACTTATGTGATGTTAATTCCCTTTCATTAGTTATACACACTACCTGTGTGCTAAGTAGGACCATATCACATAGCTGAGCAAGGAACTTAGAGCTCCAGATCTCACCATCACGGTACCATCCTGTGAATTCCCTCCACTTTACCATTATTAGATATATCACTATTACAAATCCATTTTCTCTTGAAAGGCACAGTTTTCTTGAAACTGACAGTTCTCACAGCAGAATGTCAGTGAATGAATCAGTTTCTTATCTTTAACAGGAAAATTTGAAACAAAGTCATGTTTTCAAGTGAGATGTTTGACAAAATAAAATGTTTCTTTTTAATTTACAATGTCAACACTTTTCAGCCTGGAATTTAATTCCCAGGATCTTTTTACTGTGTGAAATCTTTCATTAGTTCTGCTCTTAGTCTCATTTTGGGATGAAAACAAACATCCAAACATCTGCATTTCTTGCAAATTCTACTTTTTGAATAGCTCATGTTGTTACTGTCTTCTTCAAAAGAGGGGACCAGACTGGATGACAATATTACAAATGTAATTATATCAAGACCAGGGCCAGTTACCTCACCGTACTCTGCTGCTTCTCTGCTACAGAGACCAAGTTAGCACTTTACTGTCAAAGTACCAAGCTAGAGTACACTTATGAATGTCAATGATGCCATTGCAATGTAACTGGGATCACAGCATGAGCACACTTCAAGACAGCCTATTGGCAATATCAGACAATAAGAAAACCAGACCTTTGGACCAGTGCTTTATAAAGATATTCCATACGGGAAGATGATGTTCTTTCAGTGGCAAAGATCCCCTCTGTGCACAGCATCCCAAAGAGCATCCTTTGAAGCTTAGGCATGAACAGTCAGTGTCTGATCTCACTTGCACTCCATAAATTTAGAGCCTCTCTCCATCGATTTCCATGGAGTTACTCCAGTGTAAATCAGAATCACTCATCAGAATCTGTCCTACTGTCTAAAAATCACTCATAAACTAAATGCCAATGTTTGTTAGGATGGATTTTCTAGCAAAACCTCTCACTTTTAAAGGGGAGCTCTCTGCCTTCATTAGCATTGGGTCACATTTTCAGGTAATTAAAGAAACATGTGGCATTTTGACCTAAACTACCTCCTATAATTTCCAGATGTCTCCTTCTAAGGTGATCAAAGAAAACAAGGCCTCTCTCACAATCAAGATGTCACACTGTCAGCAGTCCAGTTCGATTCTTAAATTGCTTCTGCCTTTTTGTTACTACAGGTTACTCAGACTCTGTGCTAATATACATTCTCCTGCAAATAAACAGGCAGCAAGAAATGAATAACATTCATTTGCTGTAATTATAGTCAAGACTACGTTAATCTTAAGTCTCTCAAACAGCACATGTGATGCAGATTCCAGCTAAATAAATATTAATCCTGCTTTTTCTGTTTGTCCCACAAGGCTATAGCACAGAAAAATCAAAGCAGGTAAAAGGCACTTCTCTAGTCTCATATGGAAAACATGGCAGATCTGTTAGCGGTTCCAGGCAAGCCCAGCCTCTGCAGGGAGGACTGGTAGCTGAACACAGTGCAATTGCCATTTCTGAACTCCCTGAACAGAAACTTGCCAAAGACAACTTGATTTCTCTCTAATCATGTGCATATTTGTTTATAAATATATATATAAGCTTCCGCGTGCACTTTCACATTTCCAAATCAGCTGATGACAAGAAGATTTTATCAGCCACATGGAGATTTCTTTATGGCAGTTAGCTGAATTTTTAGCTCTCCAGAGAAAAAGAAAAACAGGGTCCTAAAACCTAAAGGCATCTGTCTCTTCCAGGCAAAGAAAGTAATTTGTTATGGTTGGGGGTTGGTTTTGCTTCTTTTACCACCTTTAAATTATTCCTCTTTCTCCTTAGAAGGCAAAGGAGTGCAGCACTTAACTAGCCAAGGTGGTGCCGTGATTAGTTAAGCCGAGCAGAACCACCTGTCATACCATGGCTTTCGGGGGCTCTCCAGACCACGGCATCTAATGACACGACATTGTTACCACATCTGAGTCTCAGCATGGTGGCTTATTAAGGCTCATGCAGAGACAGGCCTAATTTTCAGGCTCTGCATTCTTCACTGAAGCACAGTAATTTAATCACAGAGGGCTATGACTGCTCCCAAGAACAAGGTGAGCAGATACTGTTCCACAATGACAAGCCACTAAGCAGCCATAGGAAATGTCAAAAAGGATAACCAAACCCAGTTTTTCCATCGACATTTTGATTTCAGTGAATAGCCATGCACTAATTTTCTGATGTATTACATAAATGACAGCACCTCTGCTCTGCCTTGGGGAAGAGCTTCTTTCTAATGATGGAACTCCACTTAAGAAACAACTAAAACAATATAACTGAAATTGCAGTGTGGGCAGTGCCAGTTTTCCAGAAGTAAGGGCAGTCTCGCCATTCAGCCAATCTCTCTTTGAAATGCTCAGAAGGTTAGAAACGTGCAGGAGGGACTGGCCTTACAGAGACCAGAGAGAGATAGGGAATATGATCATTTGTATCCTTTGAATTAAACATCATCGATGCACAGAACATTTGTGGCATAAGCAATTATTTTAGCAATTCTAATAATTATCAATCATAAAAATATTCCAAATATTTTCCACAACATGTAGTGGAAAGTTATTTTCTTTGCTTGTATTTCATAAGCAGATATTTTAAAAGGTTAAACTCAGCTAAGGCCATTCAGACAGATCTAGTCTGCTGCTATCTCTGGAGTCCGAGATGACCAGAGTAAGCAGATACTCGGGTATGTAATTTCAATTCAGAATTATGGAAGTTCTGAATAAAATCCTGGCCACAATGTGTGTTATCTCTGAAGTCTGTAAAGCCAGATTTTCACTCCATGTGTCTAAGCCCTCAGAAAGCCTTCTTATCGCACTGTTCAATTTTGCTCTCATGTACCTTCTATTCAGAAGTTACTTCACTGAAATCAAAGGAGTTAGAGTACAGGAGAGGGAATTCTCCATCTGACTTGAAGGGATATTTTCTAGATCCAGATCATCTGATGAGTAATAATAAATTATCATCAAATGTCTCTGAGGATAACATCTGCTACAAGTTCTTTGGCTTACTGTTGTTGGCATATTCCAGAGCTGGATGGAACAGGGAAGTGGGAGGGTTCACTACAGCATTTAATAGAGGGTTGCCCCCCTTTTGGCTGGCAACACCACAAAATGAAGACATGACTGTAAATGGGAGAGGCTTTGCTGGACTATGCTGGAAAGAACAAACCAGAACTAAAGACTCTGCAGTGTGGCCAGGCTCTCCTTTTCCCTAAACCTCTGCCAAACCAGAGTAACCTTTTAGTGGCACATGAAGGAGATTAATTTCCCTCTCCATACGAAATATTTCTCTCATTCTGCATCTCAGTTTAGATATTTCTTAGTTCTGCATCTTATGTGAAGAAGGAGGTGCTTAATCAAGTCCTTACTTGGCTGTGGTCTTTTATCCTACCATGCACAAGCAAGGGGCGAAAGAAGACTGGGGGGTTTGCTGGCACCTGAGCTGTTTTGTATCAATAACCCCTCGTTGCACTTTAGCACATGGGCATTTATATTGGGGTCCTAAGGTCACAGATTTAAACACAGCTTAAGGGGAAACCTAAACATAATCCATCCACTAACACTCTAGCTGTGCATGTGTGAAGACAACTTTGGAAGTAGGATCTGTTCAAAAAGACCACGGCAGACTGTCCTTGTTTGGCAAATTAAGTTCTCCAAACTGTGCTGTGGCCAATGTCCAAAACACTTTTTCTAGACATATGGGCATTAATTAAAAAAGCCTCATACAACACCACACTTTACCTTATAATACATCCTCGTCTCCAAACCCATCCTTCCCATGATCATGACATTGTACTAATCCAGTAATACACACATCTTTTCTGCAGTTCCCCTCCTGTCTCTCCTCCCCACACGCATACACAGCAGTGGTAACGGGATTCGGAGCCCAGCTTTAGAAACATAAATAAGTTCTTACCAGCCAACTCCACCACCATTGTGCAGTGCAACCCAGGTCGCTCCTCTGAATGCATCTCCTACAAAATTTTGTACCGCCATGTCTAGGAGGAGAGGAAAGGTGTTATGGCTCTGACATGCTGCATTCGGTTTTTTGTTGTGCTGCTCACTCATTCCACTAACACCTTGATTTTGGCTGCGTGAAGGCAGTGTTGGAGGCAGGGTTTACTCACAGCTTCTCTCACAGGTATAACACTGGACATCTCATTCTTGGGAGGAACAGGCAAGAGAGATTTTCCTCCCACTCTTTGCCCCTCACTGGAGGAAGCAAATGCCAACTTCACACTGTGGTTTGTGAGGACCCTGGCACTTTCTGCATTTGTGATCCAATTCAAGCAGTTGAAGAACCTACCACTCCTCAGCTGGGAGATACCTCCTCAGGGTGGAGAGACATACAATCCTCTACTTTGGGATGTCTCAGTCATGGAAGAACAGGCTGGACACATGCATGTGAAGGGTTTCAAAATGGGGGGGACACCTGGAAAACTACACACACCTTGCAGTTCTCAGAAGCCTGAATTATTTTCAGGTCAGACTGCAGAGTTAATTCAGCCCTGTGCAGAAAGCCAGTCTAAAGCTAAGGAGTTGCATTTCGGGAACACAGTTGGGATGAAAGTGATATTGGCCCCAATTCTTTGGACATGGGGGAATTTTACCCTGAACATGAACTGCTGAAATCACACAGGAAGTTTCTTTTTTTAAAAAAATTAAGAAAAATAACTTTGCAGACAAATGTCATTTGACTAATGCCAAATGTGTGATTTCTACTGAAATGTTCACTAGAATTTTGTATGTTCACTACAATTTGTGCTACAGGATATAACCAGAGAGACAGAAAGAGGTACACACAGAGGATAACAGGGTAAAATTTACTGAAAACATTTGTCCAGATTTAATTCAGGACAGATTTAATAGATCATTTGCTGTGCTTTTAACAGCAAAAAATAAGAGACAAACAGCAATATCCCCACCAGACACATTTGCAGACCCACAGTTGTTACATGTCTGATGGAAAAATGAGTTTACTTGAGCACTAATCTATGTGAAACCCTGTCAAAAGCCCCATTATAGCATCTTTTATCTGGCATTATGTCACTTTAATAACCCAATTATCATAATTACAGTGCTGTCAAGAGGGAATGGAAGAGATTAAAATCCCCATATTCTAAAAATGTACAGATTTCTTCCTCAGCCACTAGCGTGATAGGAGCGGATGTTGGACAAGGAGCATGGCAAGTGGACTAACAATGTAATAACGTGCTGCTCCTTGGCTTCGATAAAGGTCACTAACTGTGCAAATGTCTGTGCTGAACTACACTTTGCCGAGCAGCGATGACCCATGTTTGCCAAGGATCAGACTGAGGCACTTACTGCAAAACAAAATAAGACAGGCAAACACTCTGGAAAATTCCTGTGTGCTAGAGAGGAGCCAACTTCAACTGAACCAGCTCAAATGTGGTGTTAAAACAACGGGAAAGAAGGGAGAGAGGAAGACCTAAGATGTTCTTTTATTACCTCCAGAGGTTCATCTGGTAAAACAGGGTTAGGCCTAGTTTCAAAGACCAGTGAAATCAGTGGTCAACAGGCTTTAGATAAGCCCTTGGAGAAGGCAAATGGTTCAAGTAAATCATGAAATGCAAAGAAAACACATCGCATGACGAGCAGTGGGGTTTCGCAAGCCTTGTTTCTATTGCCCTCTTCTGAGGGCACTGCCCGAGGTTTACTTATCTTAAGCCCTTTGGTGGAGATACTACTTTGGATTGCCGTTCTTTGTGCAGCTGCACCATTTTCTCACAGCTTGTCAGAACCAAACATTATTCAAGGCATCTATCCATCTGGCCTATTAGAACTAGCCAACATACTCAAGAAGTGTTGAAGTGGGGCAGGTAGACACAGCTAAAAGCCTCATTTCATCAGGAAATCCAGTTAAGATAGCAGGGAACTTTTCTCCTTAAAACTGAGCCATAATTTAGTTCTATTATGAATTCCCAAAATGGAAGTAATTCAATATGCTCAGCTACCTCTATCATAATTTCTCCTTCTACAGCAGTTTGTATCCTCCAATCTCAAGCCACTTTGCGATTGTCAGTTCATGACATGTGGAAACACTACTGGGCTAAAGCTATTATCATAATTTCCACTTTATGGATGGAAAATTGAGGAAGATTTAAGTTAAAAATTGCTTAGTGCTTCACTCTTTTTTTTCAGGTCTCCAATCTGATGTTTCTTGGGTTTATTTTTCTAAAGCACCATTTCACAAACTTTAAAGCAGAGTCTGGTTAGCTCAGGTCAGGTATGCAGAATTAAAAGCTCCTTTTGTATAGCAAACCTACATGATTTGCCCATAGTCACACTGTAAGTGAGCAACAAGGCTTGGAGTCTAATCCAGAACGCCTGACTTCCATTCTTATGCTTTTACTATCAAAGTATGTTCCCTTATGACCAGAAAAGTTCCTTTCAGAAACTCCAGACTGTTTTCTTGAGTCCTCAGGCAATGAAATGAATGCAGCTGTGAATCTTTTTGCTTTAAGCAAAATACTATTATAGACCTGATTTTGATCTTGTGGATCCCAAGAAAATACAGCTGTAATTCTGCTCAGATCACCTCTTTGAAACAGTGAAGTGCAAAATTAAAATCAAACAGAAGATACAGTCCTCTGAGATAGACTGCTCTCCATTTACATTCAGGTAAATCTGATGCATCTTCATTGAATTTTCAGCATTGTTCTGGACCTCTCCTATTTAACTAGCTCCACATTCATGTCTGTATCACTATTAAATCCCACAAAGCTTCTCAGGAAATCTGATTAACTGGGATTAAAGGGTTAAACAAAAACATTTTAAAAATGTTGCATAAAAACCCCTATTTCTCTTTAAAAGCAATTTCCTTGTTTGCCCGGACGGACAAGCCTCAGCTGCTCTGCTGACCTGCACAAAAGGCTGATCCATCATAAATGTTTGACGTTTCTCTGTAAGGACTGTCGGTCCCACTCACATCGTGGTGATCTCGGCTGAGGACTACCGGAGCCTGCAAAAAGCCAAGGACAAGAAAATGGAATCCTTCATGGACTGTCAATACTACCGAGGATCATCATTTGCTGAATTCACTTCTGTCTTAAGTCATTTCAAACCTCAGCTTTGTCCCCTCTCCTAAACCCCCTGAAACACCTTCTCTACCTGCTGTTATTTATTATAAAACAGTTGTTCACATACTGTTCATGAAAGCCACCATCCTTTCATAACTAAGAACAAGAGCTTGTTTTTATGCCAATGGCATCCTGAAAGGAGGGCAGGGAGAAGAGGGGAAGCAGTATGGTTATTTCATCTGAGCATTTCTTTGCTGAAATTTCGAAGACATTTCAGTATACAAAAATCTTCATTCAAAAATAGTTCTTGTTTGCTGTTGAAAATGAAAACTAACAGTAAGAATTTTTACACTTTTTCATTCTTTTGGAAGACTTCAAGACTAAAAATAGGTTAGCAATGAAAATCAGTGATTTCATACAGCTCAACAAGTCTATTCTTGATCTGGAATTCAATTGACAGCATGAATCTAGATCAGCTTGCAGGTCCTGATTATCATTTGCCATGCACAGGGTTTATATAAGAATAATTCACTCTTGGCATGGTGTGGTCTGGAATTAGTTGGCTCTGTTTTATGCTGCCAGTGAATTAGAAAATCATTGAAAATAGACATGAGCACCCAGCTTGCGAGAGGAGGAACAGAGATTTGCAGAAACAAAAAAAGGACGCAACAAAATCTGAAGGGCCTGGGAGTCTGACCTTGTCAGTCATAGCTCCAAGGGAGTGCTCTGTCTGGTCAGGTTTATTTTTTAAGACTAGCTTGCAGTGACGTTCATTTTGAATCCTGAGAAGGTCAACAGCATTTGAAATATTTTAACAAACATTTTCTGAGTAACAAAAACCAGACCTTTTCTAGCTAGAATCTATTCTAAGTTTTACTTGAGTTTGCCCCTTTAAAAAGGCTAATTGTAATTCAGCTGTAAAAGAGATGGAAATGAATGAGTGAACATGCCTTGGTCTGATGCTGTGGTACACACAGCAAGTAATGGGTATAATTACTGAGTGGTGCCTTCAGGATTTTGGTCCCCCAGGATGTCACATTGTACATCTACCTACAATACTCATGAAGAACTTAAAATCCCTATACAATCTTGCCCATAGTATGTACTGTTACCACCACCACATATGGTCAGTGGGATTTTACTCAGATGAGTAAGATATTACTCATTGTGCACTAGAGTGGCAGCATCAAGCCTAACAATTTTCTTCATTCAGATATGCAATGCAAATGAATATTGACTGCAGAGCTGGCTGTAGCCATAATATGGCTGAAAGTGAGGGACAGAGGGTAAGAAGCACTGGGCAGTGGCACAGTCTCTTGTTACTTTTAATGTTTGGGGCACTGCTAAGGAGTTACAGTCCCTGCCTTGTGTTTTCAGCAAATCACAGCATGATATGTTGTGCTTGTAGATGCCCAAATAGAAAATAAGGCAGATTCCAACCATGAAATAAAAGGTAGCATATTTCAGAGAGTTTCTAAACCAGTCTCTCTTCTATTACATAGCGCAATACTGGTGACAGGCAGAGACAAGGCCTGAGCTCTAACACATACTAACAGAATACTGGTCCCATGTAAACGGCAGGCACTTCTGTTCTCACCGGTTGAAGCCTTCTCCTTTCTTACCTGCAACCCCAGTCTCAGATATTAAACACAATTACCAGACCATATCGAGACAAAATAGACAAACCTTAATCCTTCCTTCGGAAATCGCTCGATTAATAGCCACAGCTATAGACACACGACCCCTCTGATCAGAATATAAGATTCTAGCTTGAGAGCCAACAACCTGGAAAATAAAAATGCCAGAGCGATAAGGTTCTCTGTGCAACTGGCTTATCTTCAGGCCCCAGATAAACGGAGTCACAGGATTGACCCCTTCTGTAGGAGAAAGTGCAGATTATTTCTTTGTCAACACCCAGCTTCCAGAAAAAAGAAATTAAAATCCCTCTTTGAACTGAGTTTTATCTCCACTCACACAATCAGTGAGATGTATGTCTGTATTCAGCTGCTACTGTCCAATAAATCCCACTTTTTAAATCAACCTGATTGCTAGGCTATAATCCCCCATCAACAAATCCCTTATCAACAGTGGAGAAGCAGAGGTTTGGAACTGGCGATGGTGGACTGGAAGGGAAGAGAAATATGGAGACAGAGAATGGCAAAGAACATCTGTCCTGCACAGCTATGCTCCTCTCCAGCTTTTACCCCACAGACCAATCTGGATTCCAGATGAGGAGAGCACATATGAGCCCTACAGTGTTACTGGTTAGCTTCACGGTGAGAGCCTGCCCTAGAAGAACAAAGGATGCTTCACTGGCATCCTGCTTCCCACAATGCAAAAGGATGGCAATTCTTTGGCCTCATCACCTGTTTTGAAAAGGGTACTGGGAACTGCAGACTTGAAGAGGTTGGGCCAAAGCCATACCAAGAAGGACATTCTGAATAGTGCTCTGAAAGAAAGGTAGTTACAAATGAGGTGGATGGTGAATCATTGATGTGTTTCACTCCAGATATAAGACTAGCTATTGCTGGATTATTTGAACATTTCCAGATGAGGAACTGAAGGGAAAGAACTGCTTTAGCTCACCCTAAAACCTTGCTGCGGAGAGAGGTTTAAGTTATCAGCCCTGGGAGTTACAGCCATTGTTTTCATTCATGCCCATTCCTGCTTTTCACTCCAACATTCATAAACTGCATTCTGGACCAGGAGTGGTCACATGTGCTGAAGGAGGTTGTGCACTTACCAAGCTGTGCCTGCCAGCTTCCCGAATCCAGCGGATGTTGTCATGGTACTGCTGCTTCACAGATGTGCTCGCTTGCAAGAGAAAGCAAGAAAGAAGAGAGGTTTTGAAAATGAATGCAATATGCTCTAAATTTAATTTAATTCATCTGACAGCACTAGGAAGTCAAATTCTACTGTCAGATACAAGCACGCATATAGGAAATGCTATATAGAATCCATTGTGCAGCTGATGCAATAACTGGTACCATATATTTAGAGGAAGGTATGAGATGTCACCTAGGAGGCAGCTGGAATGATAACTCCCATTGAGATCTTTAGCAAACTAAATTAAACCTTGAAATATGGGTTACATGTTCATTTTTGTTCACCTGGCTTGCTGCCTACTAAATGCCCAATCTCTTTCTGAGACTTTGCTAAATTAGTAGTTTTAGCAAACTCCATGACATTGGGTGCTACAGTCCAGTATTGCATCAAGTAGTAAATAACTCCTTTGAGTCAGCCAGCAGAAATTCTCAGAAGCAGCTGGCAATACATACTTGAGGATAAGTTACACCAATGCTGGGATATAGATTTATAGCACAGCAGTTGCTCTGTACTAAACGGCCCACATGAATGTTTTTATCCCAAGATAAAACCGAGGTCTCTCATCCTACAAACTGAGGTATGTTGCCTTGCATTACTACGGAGCACAAACTGCACAAAAAAACTTATTATGGAGTAGCTACTTTATGTGTAAATCCACCCTACACCTTGGTTAGATATATATGTTGTTATCTAAGAAGAGAATTATATATAATGGTTTTATATTCTCCAGCTTCTCCTCTCATTTATATCTGTGCCATTCCATCTCAATCAGCCAAACCAAAGAGGAGTAAGAATAAAGATATTTGAAGTGAAAGACAGTGAAATATGGCACATATCAGTCAGATACATGGTGACCTCAGTACCATCAGCTGCCTCCGTAGGCATGGTACCATCTGTAGCAAATGAGTAACAAAAGGGAGAGGGAGTATGGAATGGGACAGAAGCATTGTCTTACTGTCTTAATTTTGGGGGCTTTTACAGTTATGCCTTTCCACGCAGGTTGAATGTGAGCTCAGATGAGGTCACAATGGCTGAAGAAGTTACTGCCTGTAGGCTCTTTCTCTATGGGCTAAGCTATGTCACATTACCTTGTCCTGAGAGACATGGTCAGCTACCAGGGCTCAGCTGGCATGTGGGAACATGCTAAGCCACAGTGACTTGCTCGTGCATTAGAGCTTCAAGTTATAATCATTTCTGCAGATGCCAAGATAGCATGTTCCCCATCACTTTCCAGCTCTCACTCATTTTCAAGTCAAATTATAATGTACGTATAACTTCACAGAATCATAGAATACCATATTGGAAGGGACCTCAAGGATCATCTAGTCCAACCTTTCTTGGCAAAAGCACGGTCTAGACAAGATGGCCCAGCACCCTGTCCAGCTGAATCTTAAATCTGAAATTTATGTTTGAAAGTCAAACTGGACAAACTGCACATTGCAAACTTGAAATTGTCCCCGGTAACTGAGGAGAGTGTTTAAGACTACTGTCTTTCCACTAGGCAATATGTCAGCATATATGCATAGTAAAACGAGAAAAAGGAAAGAGGAAAAGGCAAGATACTCATATCTAATCCAGGTTAAACACATTGTTAAAGGGAAATGTAAAATATGCTCATTCCTGCAGAGGCAGGCCTTCCATACAGAGAGTTTTAATGATCCTAAAAAGACCTGTCAGTGCTTTAGGGGTTGGCTCCGAGTCATAGCTTCTAAACTCTGCAATGAGGATTAACATGTCAGCTCTTAGCTTCACAGGGAGTGAAAGAGGAAACATCTGCTAGTGCTGTCCTAGGAGGTTTGTGCTGCTATTAAGGAAACATCTTCTAGAAGGTAACGGGTAGTATTCACTTAGGTTATTATAGATATTTAATGAGAGTTTACAGGAGTTGCTCTAGAAAACTGTATAGAGAATTAGTTCCTTTCTATCATTTTTATAAGCTAACTCAGAGAGCACTTACCATATTTTATAATTCACAGTGCACAGACTTATAGAAAAGATCTTACTGTCTGTTAATTCTATAGAACATATCCAGAAGAGAAGCCAGATGAGAATACTGGCTACAAGGACATATCTCAACACAGCACATCTGTCCCTCCCAGCCAGCTCCAATAAACAGTCATATTCTGTCCTAAACTGTGGTGTGTCCAAAGTTGGATTTCCTCAGTTATGCCTGGGGAAGTGAAGACCCCTCCCTTTTATTTAGCCTTACTTCCTGCAAATGAAAAAAATCTTACAGCTCTTTCTAGAAAGACCTTAACTTTAGATTAGCTCCATTTGCTAAACTGCTACCCCCATTTCCCCACCCCAACAGGAATACGTTTTGAAGTCAGGCAAGCTGCTGGTATTTCATAGGCCTTTGTACTTATTTAGGGTTTAAAAGATACTAGAAAGCATTGTGTACTCAGAGGAACAGTCCTCATCAACACAGAGATTGGCTCCCTTTGCTCTTGGGAGATTTGTACTGTTGTTATGCATCAGCTCAGCCTTCAAACTACCACAGAGGTCATAAATCCGAGTTACACTCCAATCATCAGTGCTGCATCTCTTGTGCAAAGGCTAAATTAAAAGCTTGGGTACCTTAGGAGTGGAAACAGATAATAAAACTACATAGGACTTTTTCTACAGTTTGTGAGGTTTAAGCGCAAAAATTCATCTGCACAAAAGGAGAAGAATGTTTAACATTGGACTCAAGGCCAGGTCAAAAGTTTAGACTTGGAATGCAACAGACTTCAGCTCTGTGGAGCTTTCATTCAGCCATCATAAAAGATTCTTTTATAAAATTCAAAGGTAGGTTCAGATTTTAGATGTATGTGTGTGTGAGGATATCCAGACTCTGGAATTTGGTCCAAGCCCAGGTCCCATAGGGAGTGGACAGCAAGTGGAATACTCAAGAACGTGAATCCATTTTCTGGCCAAATTCTGTTTTCATTTCTCTTTGAAATCCTATTCCCATTGTCCTGCCAAATTCAACAGCAAATCCAATAATAGCTTAATCCAATAGCCTTTAAGCCTGTTTTCACCTGTTGGGATTTTTTAAATGTCATTTTTCATTTAAATTAAGAATATCATGCAGGAGTTCAATGCTTTTTGTCTGTGGAAGAGACTTCTCTCCCTATCTTTACATTACCATCTATATAAACACCCATATACTATTGTACACACAGTAACTGATTCATTTCCTAGTCTTGCAATGCAAACCATCCAAAGGTCATGCATCAGTTCAATCCTGAGAGAAGATAACTGGAGATTGCAGTACATGGCAGAAAAATTACTGCAAATTTTTGAAGATAGATCCAGCACTATAGTATTGGATTTCACCCTCCTTTCAATTAAGCTGAAGGACCAGGTTTAAAACCATGAAAGTTTCAATAGACATAGAACAGGGGAGGCACTTCTGGGCCATTGCATTAAAAATACCTCATGCTCCAGTGCTATTTCTTTAAGATGATTCTTAAGTAAAGTTGAATAGACAGAGCTAAGGACCTTGCAGAGTCAGACCCACTCTATCAGTAATTCACCTCTTGGGAGGAAGGTGAAGCTGGACACCAGCCTTACATTATAGGAAAACAGTAGTTTTGTTTCAAATGAGACACATATCTGAATGCGGTATATCCTTTTCAGAAATACCACCCTAGATCCTTGCGATGCTACCTGTTCCAGAACAAATAGGAGAGCATTCAAGATCTTCACACTTCTATTGATATCTGAATTATGTCTTTCATGAAAGAAGCAACAAATATTTCAATATTACCAGATAAAAATATTATGCTCTCCTCCCCATAAAATATGCTTTGGATTTGTGATCTGTTTCCTTCTGATCCCTTCCTTGATTCTGAGAAGCACAAAGCTCCACTCCCTCAAAATGAGGACTTCAGTGCTAGGGGACAATGACACTTAAGTCTGAGTCTGCTGTCCAGCTACTTTCAGGGATATGGAAGAGTGAAACAGTGTAATTCCTAGATACTAGAGTAGCATACAAAGCCATCCAGAGATATTCCAGATTGGTTCCACCAGTGATTAGAAACAGCTGTCAATTTATTAACAAATGACAAAAAAGAAAGACCTCAAAATTGTAATCACAAATAAATGACACTGGATGGAGCACCACACCCATGAAACCTGGGTTTCCTGCCACTGATCTGCTTGCTAGCCTCTTAAAAACCTCCCTAGATTCCCATGCCTCATTCACCTGTGAGACAGAGGCAAAGCAACTTGACTCCTTAAAAAAAACTCTTGGAGACCTATCGATGAAAGATACTGTTTGCCTTAAAGTTTCAAGGTGACAACGTGCAGGAAAATCTGTAACAAATGAAAAGAAATGCTCTTAGCCAAAATTGCAACAATAGCTTTGGGATCAATAACCTCTCTACATGGTGTTTTTATGTTTTACCTACTGGTTACACTCCTTATAGGGGTTTGGAGAACAGCGAGATTTCCTGCCCCTGTGGAACAGGCAAAAGAGTGCTTTCTACAGTTTCAGCCAAAAGCTATCACACATTGTACAATTCTCAGTTTCCTTTTCTCCCCAAAAGCACCCCCAGTGATGGGGGCATGGGATGGTGTCTTACCTCCCTGACGTATAGAGTCTTCCAGCACAGACATGGCAATTGAGTCAGTGGTAGCAAGATCCTGTGGGTCACCTGAGGTACAAACCCAGCGGAATGGCCCAAATCCCAGGGAAAAAATGTCCCTGGGAAGAGAACATGTTTCATTAAGAGATAGTTGAAATTCTTTCCTTATTTATCCTGGCTGGTAGCAGTGCTTTTCTTTCATTAGCTAGAGACAGAAGAATTTGAAATATTTTCAATGAACTAATCTAAACAGAAGCATCAGGGACCATTAATTGAGAAATTAAACAGTGCTGTTTCATGCAGCCATTGACTGGTGTATAAAAATACAGTCAGGCCAGAATTTTTATAGGAATGTTCGGCAGTTCAATCAAACAAGTGCATCATGAGATGAATTGCAATTTTTCTTTTGTTTCAAGAAATACATTCTCTCTGCTGCCTGGTGTTTTCGTCCTTAACCCAGGCTAACTCTGAGTGCATCTACACTATCAGACAAGTGTAGGTTCTGAACAAGTGCCTGAGTCCAGACTCATTTGCTGTCCACATTGTTTACACACGACAGTAAGACACACTTCAGTTGAGTTCCAGAAGAAGAGTTCCAATCTGGTTGGTGCCTTACTCTATGTTCAAGCTCTTATCCACATGATATAGGTAAGCTAAGCATGAGTCAGAGGCAAAAGGTGTTATAAACCCAGTCCCTCAACAGATCTCCTGAGCTCAGCTTTTTCTACAAGCAGTATGCACAGCTTGGGTAAGAGGTACAGTCGGCAATATGGGCAGAAGAATGTCCTATTTCAGACGTGCTTTTAACTTCAGTGTAGACATAGGCTTTGATGATTTGGAATTGAGCTCTACTGCTCCGAAGAGACAAGCTCTTCATTTTTAGCACCTAGAAGTGAAGTTGCACATAGTTACAGTTTGAGGCTGTGACTTGGCTATTCCCTTGAGTAAAACTGCTTAAGGAAAATTGATGCAACAAAAGGGAAAATGCAGCTATTCATGTAAAGGAGTGAAGAGTTTTGATTTGGCCATGCTTTAGCTTACTGTTCGCGCATCTGGTGTCTGCTTTCATAAGACCTTTTAATTCTAAAAAGGATAAAGCTTTACACCAAATTATCAAGATATGCCATGCCTTTCAGGACAAAATATTAGCAGTAACTCTGCTGTCAGAGTTTACTTCTTTTAATCACATACAGCATGTCCCTCTGGGTCTTTCTCCTGTACACAGGAAAATGCAAGGAGTAATTCTAAGGAAGCCAACAGAAAACACGAGTATGATGCTTACAGCCAACAGGACATCTTCCTAAACCACACTGGCATTACTCCAGAGTGGAGAAAAAAAAGACTAACTCTAGCATAACACCTGTGAGATCAATTTTCCTACTGCTATGGTTGACTCCTTTTCATCATTTATAGTACTTGCAAGATTTGCACTAAGTGGAATCTCTGTAGTACTCTCCCCCTAAACAGAAGGGGTCACAAGGGACTTGAGTGCTTTATTCCAAACTCTCCCCAACGTACCCCATGATGTGCTGAACGTAGGAAGGATATCGAAATTCTGTTTTATTGGCTCCTCTTTTCTCAACATCAGCACCTATAAAATAATTTTAATAGTCAGTGACTTGATGAAGAAAAACTATAAAACATAAAACCAGACTGCACCTGAGTTCCCATGAAGGCTCTATCTCAGCCACAGAGAAGGTCAGGGATCTCAGAGAACGAGAGAAAGAGACAGACTAAAAAATTAGCATAACACAGTGGCCAACCCTATCCTACCAAAATATACAGCTGGGAAGATGCATTCAGGATTGTCCTTGTTTCCACCTAACAACTCCAGGATCTACTCACCAGCCCTTTGAGCTTCCAAGAGAAAAGCATTGCCGTAATCCCAAAAAAACATGCCCTTATCAGCTAGTCTGTTAATAGCAGCCACATGTCTCTTCAGACTGAAATAAAGAAGGAAACAGTTATTCTTGAGATTGATAAAATATCAAAAAGAATAATATCATGAACTCACTAAAGGCATGGGAGTAGGGGGAGACAGATGGAACTGAAAGACCCCAGAGAAATTCATAAACCCGTAAGATACCAACTGGGATGCTTCCATCTCTGTAGCACCTGTTACCCCCAAATCTTGACGTGATTTACAGTCATTAAGGGAACTTCATTGATTAGCAGAGAGGGGTCATGTTTGTCAGCAAAGAAATGCAGCCAGCTCTGAGGATGGAAGGTAATAACAAAAAACAGCCTACACAAAACTGCAAAAGAGTTTAAGAAGTTCACAGAGAAAGTGAGCAGAGACAGAAAAACTGCAAATGGCTAAACATCACTGTTCTGGCCTCTCCCTTGGCCAAAACAGCCCCATTTTCCCTTTGTTTCCAATAGTGGACCATACCCCAGGACTGCTCTCTGTGATACCACTTCCACTTAATATTATCCAGTTCTAATCTCAATGCATAGTTGCATATGGAGTTGTACATGCATAGTTGTAATCTCTTGAAACTCTAGAGAACTAAATTAATGCCTAACAAATGAAATTGGATTTGTTTAGGTCATTCCTAGCTTGTTAGAAATGAGTCCCTCCCAGAAATTTACCTGTTTGTTACCTTTGTCTTAGAGTAGTATGATACAGAATTGGGAAACTGGAAAGCTCCTTGTAGGTCCCTCATCCAAAGTCCAATAGATTATATGCATATATTCTACCTTCTACTGGAAAAATGTCTCCAGCAGGAATGTTCAAGGTGAACAAAACCAGAGTAGGAGCCATAAAATCTCGAAAGTATCAGTTGAGAACAACAGTACAGCTTGCTGCCTCTGTTCCACAGTTCTTTATTTATATATAAATTATGCCAAATTGCTCCCTTTATAATGTCCAATTCCAATTTCACTTGCAAACTTATAAATCAGGAGTAGCTCCCCAAAATCAAGATGCTAAAGAGAACTTAGTTACAGTTGCAGGAAGCTGGGAGGAGTGATTGGGGGAGTTTGTCCCCTCCTTACATCCTTCCCTAAAAAAGCATTACTGGCCACAGCTGGAAGCATGGTAGGGTAGATGGACTTTCTGGCTTACCCATTGGGTTTTTACGCTGTATTCAGTGAACCTAAACCAACTGGTAGACTATACGGAATTGTGCTTATTGTCCCAGATTTTAAAACCTTATGCAACTTAGGAATTTATAGAAGTGAAATAAATCATTAGTGTTCAGACCTCTGATCTTATACACTAGAGACTACTCCTAAAATGGTGGGTAGGTGATGTCTGCCAGATTCTGAGTGATAGCTCTATAAGTACAAAGTTGGGAATTATTAGTACTGTAGCTCTACCCCAGATTTCTACTGGAATACCAAAGAACAGAAACTTCTTGTGAGAAAGACAAAGACCTGATCACATCCAGAGCAACTAAACTTACAGGTGAAAAACATGTGTCGCCAAAACATTTACCTCTCTTGTACCAGGGTCCGGAACTTCCCCGGATTGGTGGAAAGGAGCTGCTTTGCTTCCTCAAAGCCAAGCTGTACCGGATAGTATCCCCCGCTGAACGGGTTATGACACGAAGTTTGGTCAGACCCCAGGTCAACTAGCAACTCTCCTGTTGTGTCCAGCTCATATACTAGCCTCTCCCTGGGGAAGACAATGAATGGAGTGTTTGAAGAGAAGCTGTCGTTTCACATTCTAGCTCCTCTTTCAAGGGAAATTCTTCCATCCCAAGAGGTTGTTTATAAAGGTATGCCCTTGGCAGGCTAAGTCTTTGTTTTAGCAGTCAGGAGGTGGGAAATGATGGTGATGAAGATTTAAGTGCAACTTTTATACTTCACATTTACCTGTGCAGGAATGCTGATAGATGAGTCAGATACCAGTATGACATACTGGTCTTATTGGTCAGTCTCAGCCCTTGGTATACAGTGTGACAGCAAGATTTACCATTGGATAAAGCCTCAAGAGTGCCAGAATTTCCATCTGTCATCTGATTACTTTTATTCAATCAATACCTCAATACTTCTATTCTTCACTGAAGTCAAAGACACTTTCTTGCATCCAGTTAGCGAAAGGTTAAAAGGAAAGGGATAAATTCTTTCTTCATCCAAGGAAGAATCTTAGGGATTTCTTTCCCTAAGAAATTCATTGTTCCATAAGGAAAGGAGAAGGTGCATGGGAAGCAACTGAGAACTGGAACACAAGGATGAAGACCCCTCTTTTGACAATACAGTTTTTCATGAGCATCTAAAGTAATCAACTCAGCACTAGGTTTAATGCCTCTTCTCTTCCAAGTTTGGGAACTAACTCCAGGTTGACTAACATGCAAGAACATTAATATATATATCCATTATCCATATATACTACTTACCATAGATCTACCACATTCCCATGGTAACCCAAACTAAGGGCAATTTTATTCTTTCTTGCATCTCTAGAATAGATTAAAAAGATTGGTTAAAGAAAATGCACCTCATGTAATTCCATCTTGCAATGTACAAATCATATACAGAGTCAAACCCAGCAAAAAAGTCTGTATGTGGTTTCCAACACTCATCTAGGCAACAGATCTTTCAACCTTTATGTAATTGTTAATCACTGATTCCAGAAAGCTTGAGTGATGCTTCAAGTGTAACATTATTTGTAATTGGTCTATGCATATTCATGAAACTGAATGAAGACACATTTAACATATATAAGTGGTATGAAGCATTGGTAGTGGCTTGCAGTAAGCATTGGTAGTCATTAATAATGACTGCTGCTGTTTGGAAGGATGAATTCACATTCAAAAGCAGACCTGGAAAAAGAAGAGGTGTCCCTCAAGCCCTTCTATATGCACACTAAAATGGCACAATGCAGAAAGATGTAAAGTGAGGATTAGGAAGCAGAGAGAAACTCACTGAATTATGTTACAAGTCATACCTAAGGCGAGCAATGCAATGGTCCAGGTTGTTAGAGATTTCCATCAGCCATCCCTGCTTGTGACGTTTCAAAAGTGCTGCTTCATCAACCTAAGAGAATTAGCAGAGATCCTAAAACTCCTGTTTCCCCTATCCAGTCACTTTTACCTTTAGTTTTTCAATTAGTCTGCAAGAAAGAGTAGCAAATAGGTAAATGGAATAGCCCTGCCTTGGCCTTAAGAATATGGAGTGATTGTTCAAATACTTGTTTTTCACCTCTGATTTTTTTTTTTTTTACACTTTCTGTTCTCTTTTACTCCAGGCCGAAGCAAGACCCCTATCCAGTCACTTTTACCTTTAGTTTTTCAATTAGTCTGCAAGAAAGAGTAGCAAATAGGTAAATGGAATAGCCCTGCCTTGGCCTTAAGAATATGGAGTGATTGTTCAAATACTTGTTTTTCACCTCTGATTTTTTTTTTTTTTACACTTTCTGTTCTCTTTTACTCCAGGCTCGAAGCAAGAAAAAAAAGACTTTTTGATACATCATTTCCCAAAATATTTTACAAGCCAAAAATTATCATTAAAATTGTACAAGAGGTAATATTTTTCCACCAATTTTAATTATTCTTATTGTTTCTTTTCATTATTATATTGAAAAAAAAACGAAAGCCAAAATGCTTCCAATTTATTTTTCAAATCTGTCTATTTTCTGTGAAAATAAAATTTCTATTTAATTAAGGAAATATTTCCTTTGATCAGCTCAGAGACAGTCATTTCTGCCAGACTGCCCAGGATGAAGCAATGGTTTGCTGAATAAAATTGACCCTCACTTTTGTTCTTCGACTGCTGGTTGAAAATCTCAACCAAATATGGAAAAGAAAAGAGGAAAGCATTTTCTTGTCCCAGCTGGCTAATGCCTCTGAAAAATGGAATGGATCAAAACAAAACTACGTCTTTAATTCCCTCTTGTTTGAACTTTGAAGCTCCAAACAAACTGAGTCCCAAATTTGTACTCTCTTCTGGGCTCAGCTTCTGTGTGTGTCAGTGTGTATATGCATAAGAGACAGCTGGATAAAAATATAAATGGATAGACAAATTGTGGAGGCTTTGGCACAGATTCCATATTAATGGTTCAATGTACAAACTTGCACATCATTAAGACTTTTATAATGAGCTACCAGTGGCATAAAGCAAGTGGCAAAATTAATTCAAGCCAATTTTCTGTGGTAGCAACAGATTTAAACACCCACAGTGGTGTGTGTGCATAAGAACATAACCTGAGTATCTTCTAGTATTTCATTAAAGCATTTTTACTTCTCTATAACCCACTCCCATCATTTTCATTCTATTATTTCTCATTAACAAAGTATTTATATGTAAATTAAATAAGTTCCGTATTCAGTAGTCACTTGAACACCAGGAAACCTTTTCTTTCCTAATTATTCTTAGCATGAGAAACCTTCCATCATTTCCCACATCAGTAATAAAGGTTATCCTTCCAAAACCCCAGATTATGATAATATCAGTGTCACTGTCAGTGGAATTATTCAATAAAGTCAGGTGCCGTGGGGGACAGCTGCTTTGGGAGTTATTTAAATCAGCACAGGAGGAAAGATATTAAATGGTCCATATGAATTACGGGAATTGGGTTCATTTAAAGCTCAGCATAACACAGATCAGATCTATTTAAATCTGTTACCACATCCTACATATTTTACTTCTTAGTCTTTCACAGACTTGCTAGCATACTCAAGAAAACTAGCTTCCTTTGAACCACACTTTCAAAAATATGCTCATTTTTTGATCAGCATCTCACTAGTTTAAAAAATTGCACAAACATGATGAGCTAATGTCACCTCCAGTCTAACCCTAGAGAGCTTAGTGCAGCTCAGAGGAGATAGTCTGGCCCTCCACACAATTATTTCATAAAATTACAACCTGCTTCATGTCAAAGAGAAGAGGTAAAAACTTGCACCATTAATTCCTTCTGTCTGAGCTTCGGAAGCCCTGGCTGACAAAATGACATCTCTTACACAATTCATCAATGTCATTTGCATAAATAGTTCCTTAAATAATATGTACAGCTATCCACATGTGCTGCTGAGACTCATTTCCGACAAGGATCATCTCACAGGAGATAAAAACCAGGCGATATTCAGTCTCCTGAACAAAATCATCTGCAGCCATAGAGATGAAAAGGACAAAGGACTGCTGTGGCTAGCTTTGACTGGAATCTTTCCTTTGTATTCTAGCATTTGAAAGATCATGATGAAGATCATGTAGAAGTCTGAATAAAGATAATTTATTCAATAATAAATTGAATAAATTTATTTCATCTGCAGGGAGTACCTGGTAAGATCACAAATACACGCAAAACTCATGTGCTAACAAAAACACTTTTGCACCATCATCGTAAAACAGATGAAACCCTAACCTTCCATGAACAAGACCCAAGCTAGCCAGAGCAGGTCAGATTTGCTGCATGCCACATGGGAAGTCTGACCTATTATGTTTTGAAGTTTAATTGTAATTACCATGGGTCAGATTGCGATATTCTTACCCTTTTCATTGCAGCAAGTGACATGCCTACAGCGGAGGTCTGTCAGCTAATTCTGCTATAAATGACTTTGGCTGAGAAGGCTAAACTCCCACTGGAGTTTGGTTCTCAAAATCTTTCTTCCTCTGGAGCATTAACAAGAGCTCATCACCTACAGATAGTCAAAAGAGCTCAATCCATTTTGGTCAGTCCTATATCTGCTCCACCAAGAATGTTTCCCCCATGTATTGAATTCAAAGGTAGTAATGAGGAAAGAAATGCGTGGAAGTGTTTATTGTTTCTCAATAGTCAATATTGTTAAAGATATTCACTACCATTTTCACAGAATTGCAGAGCAACATTTTCTGTTGAAATATTGTTGCAGTGTTTTTGTAGTCCATCCTTCCATCTGATTTGTTAGAACAGAACCCTATGATAAACATAATAGCTGAAAAATGCAGGTATTAGGAGAACCTAATGTTACTTTTTTGTATGAAAATGTATTTCATTCAAAACTTACAGGCATATGTACTTACCACGATTATGATGTCAGTGTTCTGTATTATATGTGATACTTAAGGATATCTGTGGATCCTATCATACACTGTTCCAATTGCTTGGACATCAGCAGCCTTTGAATCACAGGTCATTATTAGATCCTTTGTTTACATGAGGAAATAGGTGGGCTATTTTAACATACTTGGAACAGAGAAACATTACATCAGGATGAAAGGCTCTCTACAAAGAATATATGCTGTGGGCGAGCTTCAGGGAACAGGGAAAATGGTACTACAGAACTTCTCCCTCATCAGCATTTTCCCTTAGCAGAACTTACCTTCGTTGTCTACAAACTGGGATTCTCATAAGTGCTTATAATTAGCCTCACCATCTTCATACGGAAGCCAAATTTAAAATTCCCAGTTTTACAAAATCCCATTGACTTCAAAGAATCACAACACCAAGCAACTCTGTTAGTCCCAGCCTTGATGTGTGAATCATACCAACATTTTTAATGGGTACTTTCCATTGCATCTGATAAGGGTGCCAGAGGCATTAAAGATTAATTGTAATGTAACTAACACCTTTTTAACATAGACGTTTTTTGTCTAAGAGGGTGCAGTTCCCATGGGAATTGCCTGTGGAAGTCACACCCTTTCACACATGAAATGAGGGTAGCTCAAGCACTGAGAATGGCTCATCTGACAGCATCATTCTGCATTATTTGTGAAGCAATCGTAAGAAGTTACAGTCCATACCCTTACAGTCTGATCCAGTGAGTGAACAAATAGAGAGTGGAATAGCAGTGAAAAATGCTCAGCAAAGAAAAGGACAGACAGATCTTAGAAAAGAGTATCTTTTTTTGAGTTTGGCTTGTCAGGGTTACTTGAGGAACATGTCAGATCAGGAGAATCAGGGAGATCAGGAGATTTAGCACATGAAGGAGAGATGACAAAATGAAAGCAGCATTGCTCTCACCTCTGCAATGATCCCCACACACCCAGCAATGACTGCAGCCTTTGCTTGAGCCCCACTCATTCCTCCGAGACCAGAAGTAACAAACACCTTTCCGGACAGGTCTTCTGCCTTCAAGTAGCGACGGCCTGCATTGAGCACTGTGAGCTGCACACAACACAATATAGCGATTATCAGGAGCTATTTTTCCTAGAGTCCCTGAAATTTAAAGATCTTCCATCCATTTTGCAAACAGTTTGAAACTCAGGGGTCATTGGGACCATGAAACTGTTTTCATCTTTTAAGGAAGGAAACATGTTACACAGTGATGTTATGAAACCATCGGTCATGATTGTTTATTTCTCTCACCATGAAATAGAATAGAATAATCAGTGGTTCCCAACACACTGCTTTTGGGGTATAGAGACTTATTCAGGATGGCTGCAAAAGGCAGCTAAGGAAAACAGTTAAGAAAACAAGCTAAGAAAATGTTTTTATCTAACACATTTGGTCAATTCATACTTCACTTGTTGTAGCTAGATATGAGCTCAGATTGAGACCTTGATTGCAGATTCCTTCAGGTCTGTGTTCTGGATAAGATGCCATGGACTATCTGAGTGGAAGGACACTAATTTTTTTTAAGGACTGGGCAATGAGAATTTCTTTGGTATCCAGAACATCCTCTCTCAGCAATCCAATCCACTCCAGTCACCAGCCACTGCAGGAGATACCTTTTGGAGGAGCTCCAGTCACCAGCCACTGCAGGAGATACCCTCCTCCAAAAGGTATCAACAAATAGACCTTTCCCCAGTTTCTTACCACAGTCCCATGGACTATTCCCTGAGGCCCAATGTAGCAGTAGCTCCCTGCAGTCATCTGACCATACCTAGCAATAGCAATGAACACAATGATACCACATGTTACTCAGGCTGGAATGAATTCTGTACATGTCTACATATGTTTCCAGTATAACAAAAAAACCTCTGTGCTTCAATTTGTTGTTAAAGATCTGCTATTATCAAATTCACAACTTAATTGAGTTTCTTCATTAGCAATGCACCAACGTGTTTCAGAGGAGCATTTAGTTCGTTAAATTGAGTTCAGAAATGCATGGATCAAAACACTGAGTGTAAACTTGTCTTGGCATTTAGCATAGTGACTAGGACACAAGGACACTCCTTTTCACCTTGTTGGCATCTTTATGCCATTGGTTTTCAGTGGCACTCACACTTCTAAGTCACACAGCCGCTTTTGAATTTGTTAGCCTAAAACAGCTGTCCACATTCCTATGAAATTCCCAGGAAAGTGGCAATGGATATTCTCTATTCATGCCCTCTTATTTCTTCCAGCTTCCTTATCTGTACACACCCAGCTCTCCAGTGGTTTTAGTTTATTCTCTCCATGGTACACAACAGAATAATAATCCTGTGCTCGTCAACTAGATCAGCAGTAAAAAAATAGGTAAATAATCATTAAAAAAAAGTCATAACTTCCTACTTCAAAGCTTTCTCAGTGTGAAGGAATGTTTCATAACTTGTGTTTTCTGTAGATTGCAAAACAACCACTGGAAAGTGGAACTAGCCAGCGCTATAAGTAGGTTATGATTAAGGCTTCAGGCTGTAATTCAGCCAAGTCCCACACATAAACCTAATACTAATTCCTAGCAGACCTCAATTACATCCTTATATATGTGGCTGAACATAACTCAAACTCCTAAGTAATTCCACTTAAGTGTGCATTAATGCTTTGCAGCATCAGGACTTTATGCAGCACAGTTGAAATCCATCTGCATTAGAAATTTTAACCAGCCACTGCCTGAAGTCTGAATTACATTTTAGTTAAGTATTTGATATATTTTAATAGTGAGGTATTTTCTTACATTGTTACTCCCAAAGCAAACATCTTCTCATATTCATCTCTGGTGGAATAGTTGGGAATAACCTAAGAAAGCAATCAAAAGAAAACCCACACAAGCAAATTAGAGATTTAAGCAGACCTTTTTAAACAGCCTACATTTCTCTAACTATGGTCACACACATAGAAAAACAGTGAAAAACAGGAGGAGTAATTCAGGTGTGTTTTTCCATGCATTCTAGTATTAGGAGAAAAGATGTCTGGTCTTTCTGGCAGTGTGACTGTCATGCAAGTTTTAAGGAAAGCAGTTCTCTAGCCACAAAACTAGCCTGCAGGGAGATAGATATTGAATGGCTCAAAAGACTGGCAATGAACCAGTATGTTCACTTGTCCAGCTTGCCTTCTAAGCAAAGCAGTTCAGATAATCTGATTAATAATCATCTGTTTGCCTATTAAGGGCTTTTAAATCTTCCAAACTGAGCCTAGCTGAACTGTTTTGGTCAAGAACATGTACAGCTCAGGCTCAGTCAAAACAGAAGTCGTCTAATAAGGAGAGAATTGTTCCCTCCACCACTGCAGATCAGCACACTTGAGGTGAGAGCGACTGTACTGGAATAAATGCTGCAGAATTTGGACCCCAGATTCTCCTGTGTGCTGTTGTAAGTTCAGGTAGTATAGATAATATTTTAATTCAGCAAACACTTGAAAACTAAACAGAAGAGGAGGAAAAAGAGAAAACAAGATGCTAATACCTACCATGCCATTAGTAATGATTAATCGAGGAGCATACTGATGGCTGGGAAAGAGTCCCAGAGGGTGTCCACTGTACATTACTAGTGTTTGCTCTTCAGTCATCTCTGACAAATAGTGCATTACCAACCAGAACTGAAAGAAAAAGCAAGGAAAGTGAGGGAATCTGTTTGCATCTTACATTTATGTCTCTTTGTGAAGCTGCTAAACTTTGAGTATGAAGGCAGCTATAGAGATAATGAGTTGTATTTATAGATGGAATAACAGCCAGAGCTCTCAACACATTCTTGCTTTTAATAAAGTCCATTAAGAGATATCACTCAGCAGGAAACATAAATCAGCAACCACCAAAAAGGAAACATAAATCATCAACCACCAAAAGTCTGAATAAGTTCCAGAATAATTTCTCCAGTACAAACCCCAGAAATCCTTCATTTTTAAAGCCGTTCTAATTTTATCTTGAGGTTAACCATTTGGATCTGGCACTTTTCTGGCAATCTTTCCAAAGCCAAACTGCAAAATTTTCCCTATAAAAGTGATTAAAATACTCATGCATATTGTTGATCCTAACCTGAAATGGATAATTTTGCATCTTTTAGTTCTTGTCATCTTTTCAACAAATGGATAGTACAATGTGCACTTAAAAATGAAATAATTTTTCTTCTCAAAGAAAAAATTCAGCTTTCATTATAGACAGTGAAGAAAGTCCTTGAGGCACCCAGGAGTGTACAAATAAATGCATCTCAACTTTGCCTGCATAATTCAATAGTTACTCTTGACGTATGCCAAAAAGTAGGCTTTGACCATCTAAGCTGCCTGTAAATTTGACTCACATCCATCATTGTCTATCACAAAACCCATTATATTCCACGGGACTTTTAGTATGTAACAACTAGGCCTGAGAGGATTTTTCCCATGCAATACTGGAATTCAACAACAGCTTGAAACTAGAGTTTCTGTAGGGATACAGAGACAAAGTTTTGAGAAAAAAAATGGAACTGCTGATCAAAGAGACAGCAGTATCAGTGACAAATAAACAAAACCAGTTGTCATGGGCACTTAGCCTCTGTGGTTGTATCTTTGATCTGAATTAAAAATGGTATAGATTTGAAGCCAGTCCCTTCTAACCCAGCTAATTTCCCAAGCTGCAAGTTAAGTTGAACAGGAAAGGGTTACTAGAGTTACTGTCTTGCTTTTTACATTTTGTTTTTGTTTCATGAAAAATGTTGAATAATCAAATTCTGGTCCTAGGACAGAACAGGTAACTAGCTGAACTCTCAACTCTTTAGCAGGCTGGGAAAAAGAGTGTAATAAAACTAGAAGCTGCGAGATAGTTAGATCTTTTTGCATTGAAAGGCACAACTAGCAAGGAGGAAGCAAAAGTCTTTCCTAGCTTAAAGAACAGTTCTGTTGTCTGCAGGCTTGTACAGTTAGCTCTGGACATGGTTCTTTTAAAAATATTCAGAAGAAAGCACAGGTCTGTGTGGATTATATAAACCAAACTGAACTTTTTCACTAGGAATTTTGCAATGATAGATTTCCAAAAAAGCATGTTGTTTTTAAGCCACAAACAGAACAAAATGTTCTGTCATAACTGAGTCATTCATGTGATTGCTACTGTAAGCAAAAACAAAACGGTTTTGTTTGTTCTGCTGTGAAACAATTGCAGGTCATAGCTCTGACTTGGAGGAGAACAAGAGAAAAGAGAGTATTTCTGACTTTGGCAGCGCTTCTACTTCACCTTGCAGCCCAGCATCTGCCTAAGGGATGTCAGTCTGATAAAGGCTACTATATAAACTGCTGGCATGGCTCACATCAGAAATGCTGTACAACTCATGTAGTTAACAGGCATTAGTTAACTGGCATTTACTAATTAATACACAGAATAAAGAAATGGTGTGCATTGCCATGGTACCTTTCTTTTAAAAAGTCAGAACAGTTTTGCCTCAAAAGCTGCCTAAGACTTCCATTTAACTCCCATTTACCAGATTAGGAAACTGAAGCTACAAATGAAAAGTCACAGTCAAACTGGGAAGAAAACCCAGGTCACTCGGTCCCATGCTACAGTGAGGAAACCATTCCTCTCCCCTAACTAGGAACTTCATTTACATGTTAGTTTTGCTTGGATTTTTTAATAAGCAAGAGGCCAGATTCAGATAAAGCCACAACAAGGTGCATACGTAATCCTTCATGACAGAAGTTGGCTCCTTAAGTCAGCTACAGAATCAGAAGTCAAGACCTTCCCAGCCTTTGGGAGTGATGCTGCCCTTCAGGGTGATGTAGCTTTCTGCCTGTGCCATTTCTGTTCTGCACTGCAAGACTCAATGCCATGTCTCCACCTGGCCCACTCTGTGGCCTCGGGGCATACCAGAGGCTACAGGGATGATGCGGTTTTGGCATTCACAATAACCACATTTGTGCCTATTCACAGACACTCAGGATGGTTGTTCATTAAATGTTCCTCCTGCCACCACACACCTGTAGAGCATTCAGACCCAGAGCATATTTTTTCTTGAGAGAATAAATTGAGCTCATACAAAACATGTCTAAATATGTTGCTGATGTTAAAGATCTCCTGAAAACGTTTCCCACATGTATTTTGCAGTACTTGGATTAAAGCAAGTGTATTTATTGCCATTTTTTGATAGAGAAGGAGCACAGAGATTATACAACCACACCTTAAACATACCAGCTCCAATTTTAGACAGGCTTTTACCCACCTGCCATCATTCTCAGAAGATCAGGGATAACGTTGCTAGGCCTGACAGTAAAGTGCACTATGGTCTGGCTAGCTAGCATGTAAATATTTACAGCTAATCTGATTTGCTTGGAAAAAGACTCAGGATTGCACTTTCTTAAATCAAAGCCCTTTTTTTTTTTATTTCACTACTTGTGAAAAATGTTACAAAAGTACCAGAAACATGCAAGCAAAAGATACACTCTTTTGTTTCCTAGAATTCATTTTGACTCTAAAATTATCTGTGCAAAATACAAATGCACATACAAACACATCAGAGAAAGATAAAGAAATGGTCTTTACATCATCATACACAGCTTGGTATGTTTATGGCATTATGTTTAGTATTTCTGTTGGGCTGTCTATGCTCTCCTTACTAAATAAAGCTCTCCCCATCTATGCAGTTCATAACTGAGCATTCCTCTATCCAGACAGGATGTTTTGGAGTATTTTGAGACAACAACTGCCAAGAATTATCACAAACTGCCTAAGCAGAATGTGCACGGGGGAGGGTGAAACTGGTTTCGTGAAACAAGTTGCAAAAGCAGCAATGTCCTACCTGCGCCCAGTTGCTGAAGACCTGCCCGTTTCCTCCGTAAGTGACAAGCTCCTGAGGAAACTGAAAAAGACAATTTAACAATAAGGCAAGCACTTTTCTGAAACATTTCACTGTATCTCCAAACTATTTTTTTAATCTCAGTAATAAATCTTTTCTATAGCTTATTGCATCAACACTCCCTACATTCTTGAAATCAGAAAATACCATCATAAAAGTGCTAACTTAAGAAAAAAAAATTGAAAATTCTTTTTCCAAATGAGATGTTTATTATTGTTACAATGGTCTTTTGGATGCAGAATGCTACAAAGTGATTCCTGGATTGCAGTTTCTGTAACAGACATCCCAGGTGACTCCCTTAAACAGGGACTGAGTGACCTTACAGTTTGGTTGCTACTGGCATTTACAGCTGGAAGAGTCTATGACCAGCAGAGCATAGTTGCATGGCCTCTCCCCTGCCATTTGCAAAAAGATGCATTACACTGAGTCGCGCTTGTAAGGATGGACTTTGGTCCTGTAATCATCTAGTAAATCTGTCCTTGAGGGATGAGCTTTCAAAGATACAGGAAGCATCAGCACTAATTTTTCAACAGTACATTGCTTCTACAATATATAAGACCTGAGCTCTACCTATCTCTCAGACAGCGACAGGAAGCATCAGCACTAATTTTTCAACATATGTTGTAGAAGCAATGTACTAAGACCTGAGCTCTACCTATCTCACAGACAGCAACCAGGCTCCTGTATATAGCGGGAGCTGGAGTGAGCCTTGTTGGTGGTGTAGGAGGCCTCAGACGTCTGAGTTCGGACCAGGACCCACTGTGCAGGATTAACAACTGCACACAGCAGGAAACTAAAGAACTTAATACAAAAGACCCCAAACCCCAGGAATCAAAACAACCACAAGTATAGAATCACCTTTAGTCCCTTGCAGGCTTTAGCCTCACAGAAACGGACACCTGTCCTGGTTTCGGCAGGGATAGAGTTAATTTCCTTTCTAGTAGCTGGTACAGTGTTTTGGATTTAGGATGAGAACAAAGTTGATACCCACCGATGTTTTAGTTGTTGCTACGTAATGCTTACACTAGCCAAGGACTTTTCAGCTTCCCATGTTCTACCGACTGAGAAGGCTGGAGGTGCACAAGAAGCTGGGAGGGGGCACAGCCAAACTGGCCAAAGGGACATTCCATACCATGGGACGTCATGCTCAGTACATAAACGGGGGAAAGCTGGCTGGGGGCCCGCTGCTCAGGGACTGGCTGGGCATCGGTCGGCAGGTGGTGAGCAATTGTACTGTGCATCACTTGTTTTGTGTATTATTATTATCATATTATTATTATCATTTTATTTCAATTATTAAACTGTTTTTATCTCAACCCACGACTTTTTCTAACTTGTGCTCTTCCAATTCTCTCCCCCATCCCACCGGGTGGGGGGGAGTGAGCGAGTGGCTGCGTGGTGCTTAGTTGCTGACTGAGATTAAACCACGACAACACCCTAGCACATCAGTCAGTAAGGAGGCTGCCTTGGCACTACTGAAATTGGCCTGCTTAGCTAACGCACAGCAGCCAGCTCTACATGTACAGGGACTGGCATGTACCTTGGAGCACAGAACCAGCAAAAGTCTATGAACAACTAAAATCCTACTCAATGCATGGAAGATGGATCATCTGCACAAGGATTAAATTTCACCTACATGCCTAAATTCTTCAGTTTTTATGTGAGAGCACACACAGGAAGTAACTTGCACATTTCCTGCTGCCCTGTGAATCCAGCTTCCTTATTTTCACTGTACCTTACCTGAGCCACTGAGGGATCCAGATTATTCATGATCATCAACATAATGGCAGCAGCTGATTTGGTCTTGCAAGGGTAGTCTCCTATGGGGTATGCTCTGAAACGGTAATTTCAAAAATTTAGGAGAGACACTCCAACTCACAAGGGCAACCGCAACAACATACCCCACAGAAATATCCCTGCATGCTAACACATTCATTTGAGTTGCAGGCTTTTATTCAGGAGGGAAGAAAAAAAAGAAAAAGGAGAAAGCACAGATCTGAAATGACATACATACCTTCACAGGCAAATCAGGTTTTAACTATTAGAACTAATCAAAGAAAAAAATTGCATTCAGCTTGTCATTTGCTGAATCAGTTAATCACAATGGTTATAAATATGTTGGCCAAGAGCTCTCATTGCTTTTTAACTGGATTATTTTGGGGGTGCTGGAATTGGGCTCTGTAACACAGCTGCCAGGCCAAGCAGCTAAGTCCTGCAATGCCAAGGAAAACAGCATCAGTGGAAGTTTCCTTCAGGCTCATCAGCCCTTGTTATTTAAGATCCTATCTAAGAAAAAACAGCCAGCTTGAATTTCAGTCCCAAAGAAGCTCTCAAAAACTGAACTAGTTAGGAGAAATATGGGCCTTTTTGCTGAATAAGATACATTTCATCAGAAAGTTAAGAGGTGAGGTATGGGAAACCCTCACAAAGGTATTCTGAGTCAGGTTTCCTAGCACTAATGTACTTCCATGCCAGGTGCTGCAATCATCTTACTTATCTTCTCCTCCACCATGTGTTTGTTATATCAAATTGCTCTAAAACTTCTAGCCTTAGATTTATACTGCAGCTCTTCAGGGCAGGGACAATTCCTTTGCTGTGTTTGCACAGGTCTTAGTAAAATTGTGCTGAGGCCTCTAAGGTATGATACCAAAAGGAAGTATAACCATTGACCAAGAGTTTTGCTCTTTCCCTTTCTGTAAGCAACACCACCATTACAGATGCTGGAAATTCCTAGAGGTAGATAGGATCATTTGACATGGTTTCTAAATGATCTTCCTTTTATTGGACCATAGGTCTTCAATGGCTGGACACTTGCTTTGTACAGGGAAGACAGTTACACTGAAAAGGTTAGGCTAAAGAGTGCCAACTACAAAAAAAATTGGATTTGACCAGCTCATGAGTTAAGATCTGGAATGTATATTCTACAGATTTAGCAAATGGTCTCCTCCCATGATCATATGCACTTTATCCTAGCTTTTTACATCAGAATTCTAAAACAAATGCCTTGTAGTCAATTGGCAAACCAGGAGGGAAAGCATTTGAGTTTTTCCACAATACTTTTTTTATTAGTGTTTTCTGCTTCTCTAAGCTTGATGTGATAAAATAACAGGATTTCTGTGGAATGATACCAATTCATCAAGAGGAGATATTTCCACATAATATTGCTCAGAACATAAGAAACCCAAGTTCAGATATCAGCTGAGTGTGCTGGTATGGGAACATGGCTGTTAAGTGGAACAGAACCAAGTTGGACTGTGCTCCCTGGGCCATACAGAACAAAAAAATCAAACACTACCAGACTACAGAGAACAAAAAGCTTTTTCTAAATCTGAGACTGTAAGATTCTATTAGAAAGAGTGATCAGTGAAATGGTCACAAAGAAAAAAAATATTTGAAGCTATCAGTCACTGATGCCAGTGATGGAAACAAGCTGGTGGACTGTCTCATCCAAGCCTACTTGGAAGGTGCCCTCATTTGTAGTTCAGGACTAGGGTCCTCTGAAGTCCAGCTCTGCAATATCTTTCAGACAGTCTTCCAGTTGTCCTCCCCTTAGCTGAATTCTGCAAGAGCTGACCCCAGACTAGTATGGACAGCACAGAAATATGGATGTCTGTGGAAATCAGAGTGCTTTCTAGTTGCTTGCTTTATTCAGATTTCTGTATAGACATTAACCAGGCCCCTGCTGGATGCAAAAAGGAATCAATCAGTCTAAAAAAAGCAGCTAGCCCCTGGCAGCCCTCTCTAAAACTGTTCTGCTTCACAAACATTAGCCCCATCAGCCCTAGAATGAAGTGATGCTCCAAGATCAAGAGGCACAGTATATTACAAACCAGGGTCAGATACAGGTTCCAATGATGGAAAAATGTACTATCTTTCTTTTAAGCCCAGAAAGCCTTCTCTGGGAAACAACCAGCCACTCACAGCAGGTCTCAAGCCATCCACTCATCTGATCTTACCAATTGGTTCAGTTGAGACTTGCAGCAGCTCAGGACTATTGCAAGTTTTCTGTCCAGGTTGCAATCAGAGGTCTCCAGGTAATGACTGGCCTCTGGAAACTAAGGCTTGCCACGAGGCAGAGCATTTGTGACCTCTGTGTATGGTAAAGCTGGCATTACCAAGCACACAACCTTGCACAATCCTTTCCCTGTGTTGAGTGGTGCTGAGCTTTCCGGCAGCAAGACTGTCCTGGCCCTGCCACAGCCTATCCAGAAGGGTGCACACTGTCTCCCTACTAGTCCCATGGGTCTCTCATGAGGACAGAGAGAATAGGGTGAAAGCTGGAGGATGACGGATCACTGTTACGCAGCTTTACAGAAGAGCATCCCAAAACATGCAGTATCCCTCACTGGAAATGAAACCACTGCTATCTAATGATACACAGAACATCCAATTTATTCCCATGATGCACTTCATTAATATGTTATGACATGACTTCTAGAAGAGGTAAATTAGGACACAGCAATGACACTATTTAAAGGTCAGTTTCACAGGTGAAAGCTAGTAAGCAAATGGCAGCCAAATACAACATGAACCATCCAGTCCTTACCTCATCTCAATATCTGGAAAGAATCTGTACATATAGATATGGCCATAGAGCCTGAGTTCTTCAGCAAATTCCAGCGCCAGCTTCTTTTGTATTTCAGGTGGGAAATAACGCAAAGCATTGCACAAAGCCAGCTGCCAAAAAAAACCAAGACAGACAAAAATCAAGCTAAAAGAGAAATGGAGGTAAATGGGTGGCCCTGAACTTTAATCAGACTCGGCTGGAAGCCTAAGCTACACAAGGATGATATAACTTAAAAGGCCAAGCTCACACCAGGGGAGCTCCATTCCTGCTTTCCTATTGAAGTGTTTCCACCTGCATCTTTCCTTGTAGATTCAATTACTGTACACATGTAACCCTCCCCTTCCTATCCCCCCCAAATCTGCATGGAGAGACCTTGGAGATTTGTTAAGTAGTGCTCAATCCTATTGTTGTGGTTTAACCTGGCAGGCAGCTAAACACCACACAGCTGTTTGCTCACTCCCCCCCACAGTGGGATGGGGGAGAGAATCAGAGGAAAAAAAAGTAAAATTCATGGGTTGAGGCAGTATAATAGGACAGAGAAGGAAGGGAAAATAATAATGATGATAAAAGAATACACAAAACAAGCAATGCACAATGCAATTGCTCACCACCCGCTGACCGATGCCCAGCCAGTTCCAGCGGTCACCGTCCCCCCGGCCAACTCCCCCCAGTTTATATACTGAGTGTGATGTCCCATGGTATGGAATATCCCTTTGGCCAGTTTGGGTCAGCTGTCCTGGCTGTGCCCCCTCCCAGCTTCTTGTGCACCTC